TATAAGGAGGTATACACATTATGAACAGCAGTATATACATTGAATACACCATGGATACAGGTATAAAAGTATACATTATGAAATAGACACTATCCACAGAATCAATATGAATATACTATAGACCGTTATTGATATTATGAATGATTATGAGTATGGTAAAGAACCTTTTGACAGTTTTATGAGTAAAGTGATGAGGTCAGTTGTAACAGATGACATGTTTAAAGTACCCCTCCCACCCTGCTCTCTGAACACAGGTATAAACCAAATCCCCATCCTCTAATCTTTCAGGAATCTTGCTTCCCAGCCAATCGGAGTCTCAAGTCTCCTGATGGAAAGTTGAAATAGGTCGACGTCCCGGTCAATAATACCCCAACACACGCCCCTAAGAGTGACACCCAGCTGTCCCGACGAAATACAAACCCTGCCAAAATTCCTCTGCGCTTAAATCACCTAAAGTACTCCCCCCCCCCCCCAACACTCTGACGTACCACGATTTAACACCAAGATAGACCTCTGATCCATCACTTAATACTTATATTTTAAAGTTTGGGTTCATTTTAGGTCAGTGTTATGAAGAAAGGCTGGTGTGTTAGGGTTTCAAGATTCAAGGTTTCATTGTCATTTGAACATTTTTTACAGTGTAGATATGTTAATGAACAACTGAAGTCTCAGGCTCCTCCAACAGTGCAACCTATAGGACATAGAACAAATAGAACAGACAAAAATGTTCTGAAATGTGCAAGTAAATACAAATAAAATAGAAATAGTGCAAGAATAGTCAAGTAAATGTAATGATATTAGATCAGTTAGGGTTAGGGTCTACAGTGCAGTGAGTAATGGTTAACCTTTATTGAGGTCCATTGGTTGGTAGGGGGAGGTTTCCCAATCCATTTGAGTAACTTTATCAAAGAGTCTGGATCCTACAATGACAATCAGAAGGGTCCACTCTTTCGCCCAGTACAGGAAAGATGCTTGCTTCAGTTAGCTAACGTCTTACAATCTTACATTTATTAGCTTCTTCAACGTAACGTCTGCAAACATCCAATCCGATTCAGAACACTCTGAATGTAAGAATGTAAGGAGTATTAATCTATCTAGATAACCAGCTACTTAACCTACAGCGTCTCCATTGGTTTTGAAATGGTATGGTCCACTGTAGGGGTGTCCAAACTCCAAATAGAGAGTAATAGAGTCTTCCAGGCACTAATGGGAGAAGATGCTGTTATGGTGCCGAGTGAGTGACTATTGCAGGTAATAAGGATGTATTAAAGGTTCAACTGACATGTTGGTCTGAACTCTTTTGGGGGGGGTCCAAGTGTTAATAAGGGTGGTCAGACGCTGTCATTTGAACCTTGACCTTTGCAGCACATCAAAAAGTACTTTGCATAACTTACTTTTCTGTCCTTTCTTTTGTTATTCTTAAACTACTCACTGCAACATCATGATTCGATCACAGATTGTCCAGACTTTTGCACTGTCATCCTGATTTGTTGCCACTAATCAGAAATCAATCCAAAATAAATAACCACAAGATGCTAGCTGCCGTAGAGTGGTGTAGGAATGAGTCCTGCAAAAATTGCATTTAGATCAGACCTGAGTTCTGAGGGAAAAAAGTCAATATTCGGTATTAAAAAAATCTGAAATCCAAGAAAAAAAGTCAGAATTAAAAGAAATTGCGATTTCATTTTCCTCAGACTGTCTGAAAATCTAAATTGTGACTTTTAGAACAAAAAATATGTGTTTTTCACTTTTCGCTTCTGCTTTTATTAGAGGTAAAAAAAAAAGGTTTTGGGTATATCAATATTCAGTCTTTAAATGGTCTGATTGGGCTGCTTGCAGTATGTACTTGGACTTGAAGGCCAAACACATTAATTCAATGGGAATTTCACTTTGCAAAAATCGAACATTTGCAAGTGTAACGGTGAAATAGGTTTCATTTAATTACGGCTTTAACAGTTCATTGGTCCATAGTGGTAAAGACAAAGCGTTGTTGTCAGTATCCAACCCTTTGCATGTTTCTAAGACAGAGCCTAAATAAGGTGTAGGTAAGCCCAGGCAGGGTTGAGAGGATTACCGGGTCAGACAGAGTGAGACTGTGAGATCCTACAGGAGCTATAATGGAGCCCAGAGATCAACGCGGTGATAATCCCCGCCTGACGACCAGTTGACGGCCGGCTGAAATGTCTTTATTGCTTTGCTGCCAGACCACTGCGTGTCTCTGGAAAGCAGAATGTTCTTTTGTTATTTTAGTGCCATAGCCTTTTATCACAGACTGTCCTCAAACTTGTCAACGTTAACCCCATCTGGTGTTGTCCTGTGTTGCCACGAAGCAAAAACAAATGCAAAGTGCCCGAAGATGTGACGTAGTACCACTGATGCTCGTTGCCTTGTGGTGGTGCAGGAGTCCTAAAACCCCTAAATGACTCTGAGAAGCATTTGATAACTTCCACTTCCCTGAGGGCAGCATGTGAAATTTGCATCGACAACTGCCAAAAGTGATTATCCTTTTTGAGTTCTAAGAATAAAGTCAGAATACCGAAAACGTCTCAGAATTCCAAAAATAGGAATTTTGGAAAAAGTCTGAATTCCATAAAAAGTAAAAAAGAAACGAAAAATTCAGAATTCGGGAAACATTCAGAATTTTAAAAAAAAGTCATGATTCTAACAAAAAGTTAGAAAACCGAAAAAAATTAAGAATTCCAACAAGTCAGATTCGGGAAAAGTCACAATATCAAAGAAATAGTTAGGATTCGAAGAAAAAAAGTTAGAATTCCCTGCATAAAAATGTCCTGAAAAGTCTGGATACCCGTCAGTTTACGGCCAGCGATACTCTCTCCTCCTCCTCTCTGGAAAGCAGAAGGGGTGGGGGGGGGGGTTAAGGGGCAAATACAGGCCAAGCTTCAGGGTGATATATCGAGGCGCTGTTTGAAAAGGCTAACTCCCCGATTTCCAAAGCATCCATTTGGGTCTATCTTGGGAGGTAAGGAGAGCGGAGCGGAAACTCCTGCAAAGGGACTGATTGCAGAATTTAAAATAGCTTCTCAGGGGAACACGGGTTTGTTGGCTACAGCTGTCATTAAAGGAGCAGCTTTCAGCCGTTAACAGCTGAACATCACACATTTAGACACACACACACACACACACACACACACACACACACACACACACACACACACACACACACACACACACACACACACACACACACACACACACACACACACACACACACACACACACACACACACACGCACACACACACACACACACACACACACACACACACACACACACACACACACACACACACACACACACGCACACACACAGAGGATAGAGGCCTGACATTAATTTGAGCTCCACAGCAGCCTGACAGACAAAAGAAAGCATCTTTGTTTGTTGTGAGCAATTCGATGAGTGATGTTGCTCAGCCTGATGTATAAAGAGACTCAAACAGTTGACAGCCTGTCTTGCATAACTAATTTAACTTCCTGGGTAATGGCTGGAAAAGCAAACAATTCCTTACAGTCTTTCTCCATGTTTGTTGTGGTTTCACACTGGGTTTTAAATCACACAAAACATGTTTTTGTTAAACTAGCCGACAGCCCCCTCACACTTTTACATGAAGTTATTTACATTTACCGTCAGACAAATGTCCACAAATCTAGCAGAGACGATTGAAGTTGAATTAGTCATCAGTCAGAACCTCCTTGGGACCCTAAAATGACATCCAACCTTTAACTATTACCAATTACCAAGGAAGCAGCTTTCCAAGGAGGAATGAGAAGTCGCTCTTATTGACTATAATTCAAATTACTATGGTGTTTTCTCTCCAGGAAGACATTTACAACACGACAAGAGCTTTGGGAACGCAGAACTCTGCAAATGACTTATATTGAGAAACTAACAAAAAGGGCAAAAATAATATATCAGTTGATTGACCAAGATGATCAAGCCCAAAATGTAATATGTTCTGCCTTTACCCTCGCTACATCCTTCCACCAAATGTAATGAAAATTGGGCCGGTGGTTTTGTCGGATATCCTGCGGACAGAAACCAGACAAGTTCGCTAATTATGGATCTTCTTCTTCACAGGTGGATGATGTTAGCTTATCACATAGTTCCTCCGTTAACTCAGTCTGTTCCCCCGAGGCTATGACTTCCCAAGGATGAATGTGAAGTCGCTCTTATTGACTATAATTCAAATTACTATGGTGTTTCCAGCCAGGAAGACATTTACAACACAAGAAGTGGAGCTTTGAGAACGCAGAACTCCACAAATGACTTATATTGAGAAACTAACTAAAGGGAAAAAATGATATATCAAATGATTGACCACGATGATCAAGTCCAACATTTAACAGGTTCTGCCTTTACCCTCGCTATATCCTTCCACCAAATGTTATTAAAATTGGGCCGGTGGTTTTGTTGGAAATCCTGCCGACAGAAACCAGACCAGTTCGCTAATTAGGGATCTACTTCTTCACAGGTGGATGATGGTGGTTTATCACATCGTTTCTCCGTTAACTCCGAATTTTTCTCTGAGGAATGGGAAGTCGCTCTTATTGACTATAATTCAAATTACTATGGTGTTTCCCAGCCAGGAAGACATTTACAACGCTAGAAGTGAAGCTTTGAGAACGCAGAACTCCGCAAATGACTTATATTGAGAAACTAACAAAAAGGGAAAAAATGATATATCTAATGATTGACCACGATGATCAAGTCCAAAATGTAATATGTTCTGCCTTTACCCTTGATACATCCTTCCATCAAATATAAGGACAATTGGGAAAGTGGTTTTGTTGGAAATCCTGCCGACAGAAACCAGACCAGTTCGCTAATTATGGATCTACTTCTTCACAGGTGATTGATGGTGGTTTATCACATCGTTCCTCCGTTAACTCCGAGTTCCTTTGAGGCTATGACTAACCCTACCAGTGTGTGGATGCCCTGGTTTAATTCCTGGAAAGATTAATAATACATTTTGTTTTGAACAGGGCACTGAATCAAAGGGAGAGAAACATGTTGCTGTCCAGGAAAATGGGAACGCAGGTAGGTGGAACATTTTACATTTCTCATTGGTAATCGGACGAGTTGACCTCACTTTTGATTCTGTTTGGTTCTCAGAAAGCTCATCAGTGGACTCAGAGGTCGTTGAAGTTGTTTCCCAGTCCCACCGGTCTCTCACTAAACACACCACAGAGTCTTCTGGAATAAATAACTCTCTGCAGTCCAACGTGGAAACCCCCAACATGCCTGGTCAGTCCATTCACTTTATCCTTTGTTTTTGGTGACTATATTGGATCAAGAGCTATGAGTTTGAATCTCCACGTGGCAGAAATGGTTGTGTCTTCTGAGGCCGAATAAATGTATAACTCGACTGGATATATTCTGGATAACTCAAGAAAGAGACCGGAGACAAGAGCTTCTAAGATCTACGTGTTTTAATTGCAAGAAAACCAACATAAGACATTTTTCAAACTCTTATAAAGTCACAGATCTTAGATAACGTACATCATTTCCTGTACTTGACTCCTATATTTGTATAAACAGTCTATTCATGTACATTCATATACTATATCCTTCTGAAACTAAGAGGGCATTTGCATTTACAAATCATTGTTTTACCAACGTGTTCCTTAATCCCTAATTCTCAGAAATCGGACGATGGTTACTGTTTGCTGTCGGCTGGTATTTTAAAACGTTCTCAAACTTCCTAGGAATTAAGCAATAATTCCAATTGTTCCAAAAAGAAAGTGAGGTTCTCAGAGTGGTTACTTCATACGGACAGAGATATACATTTTTACTCTATATAACTCAATCTAAGATATATTTGTACGTACAGTCTATTCATGTACATTCATATACTAAAACCCTTCTGAAACCATGAGGGTATTTGCGTTTGCAAATCATTGTTTTACCAACGTGTTCGGTGTGTTTGTCAGATTTTAAGTCGTTAACATGTTGTATATTATTGCTTGAGGTATTTATAGCTGTTTCAGAGTTCACGTGAATGATCACAAAGCTAATTATTTTAATTATTATGACACTGGGAGCCTTCTGTAAGCTGTTCAATTGACTTTAATAAAGGATTGTCTTTTCTTCACCCAAAGAACCAAAAGAAACTCCAGTTGTTGTTGAACCCCTGCCCCATCTTCCAGTCACCGCCATGTTAACCAAAGAGGGTCTGAAAGCCGCCCAGTCCCATATTGCAGAAGCTCCATCAGGTGAGTGTCTCTAGAAGGTAGTGTCTCTACTTTAAAGAGTCCTCTCCTGCTGATGTTCAGGTGTATATCAGTATGTAGTGTCTCTACTTTAAAGAGTCCTCTCCTGCTGATGTTCAGGTGTATATCAGTATGTAGTGTCTCTACTTTAAAGAGTCCTCTCCTGCTGATGTTCAGGTGTATATCAGTATGTAGTGTCTCTACTTTAAAGAGTCCTCTCCTGCTGATGTTCAGGTGTATATCAGTATGTAGTGTCTCTACTTTAAAGAGTCCTCTCCTGCTGATGTTCAGGTGTATATCAGTATGTAGAGTCTCTACTTTAAAGAGTCCTCTCCTGCTGATGTTCAGGTGTATATCAGTATGTAGTGTCTCTACTTTAAAGAGTCCTCTCCTGCTGATGTTCAGGTGTATATCAGTATGTAGAGTCTCTACTTTAAAGAGTCCTCTCCTGCTGATGTTCAGGTGTATATCAGTATGTAGTGTCTCTACTTTAAAGAGTCCTCTCCTGCTGATGTGCAGGTGTATATCAGGATGTAGTGTCTCTACTTTAAAGAGTCCTCTCCTGCTGATGTTCAGGTGTGTATCAGTATGTAGTGTCTCTACTTTAAAGAGTCCTCTCCTGCTGATGTTCAGGTGTATATCAGTATGTAGTGTCTCTACTTTAAAGAGTCCTCTCCTGCTGATGTTCAGGTGTATATCAGCATGTAGTGTCTCTACTTTAAAGAGTCCTCTCCTGCTGATGTTCAGGTGTATATCAGTATGTAGTGTCTCTACTTTAAAGAGTCCTCTCCTGCTGATGTTCAGGTGTATATCAGTATGTAGTGTCTCTACTTTAAAGAGTCCTCTCCTGCTGATGTTCAGGTGTATATCAGGATGTAGTGTCTCTACTTTAAAGAGTCCTCTCCTGCTGATGTTCAAGTGTATATCAGCATGTAGTGTCTCTACTTTAAAGAGTCCTCTCCTGCTGATGTTCAGGTGTATATCAGTATGTAGTGTCTCTACTTTAAAGAGTCCTCTCCTGCTGATGTTCAGGTGTATATCAGTATGTAGGGTCTCTACTTTAAAGAGTCCTCTCCTGCTGATGTTCAGGTGTATATCAGTATGTAGTGTCTCTACTTTAAAGAGTCCTCTCCTGCTGATGTTCAGGTGTATATCAGTCTGTAGTGTCTCTACTTTAAAGAGTCCTCTCCTGCTGATGTTCAGGTGTATATCAGTATGTAGTGTCTCTACTTTAAAGAGTCCTCTCCTGCTGATGTTCAGGTGTATATCAGTATGTAGTGTCTCTACTTTAAAGAGTCCTCTCCTGCTGATGTTCAGGTGTATATCAGTATGTAGTGTCTCTACTTTAAAGAGTCCTCTCCTGCTGATGTTCAGGTGTATATCAGTATGTAGTGTCTCTACTTTAAAGAGTCCTCTCCTGCTGATGTTCAGGTGTATATCAGTATGTAGAGTCTCTACTTTAAAGAGTCCTCTCCTGCTGATGTTCAGGTGTATATCAGTATGTAGTGTCTCTACTTTAAAGAGTCCTCTCCTGCTGATGTTCAGGTGTATATCAGTATGTAGAGTCTCTACTTTAAAGAGTCCTCTCCTGCTGATGTTCAGGTGTATATCAGTATGTAGTGTCTCTACTTTAAAGAGTCCTCTCCTGCTGATGTTCAGGTGTATATCAGTATGTAGTGTCTCTACTTTAAAGAGTCCTCTCCTGCTGATGTGCAGGTGTATATCAGGATGTAGTGTCTCTACTTTAAAGAGTCCTCTCCTGCTGATGTTCAGGTGTGTATCAGTATGTAGTGTCTCTACTTTAAAGAGTCCTCTCCTGCTGATGTTCAGGTGTATATCAGTATGTAGTGTCTCTACTTTAAAGAGTCCTCTCCTGCTGATGTTCAGGTGTATATCAGCATGTAGTGTCTCTACTTTAAAGAGTCCTCTCCTGCTGATGTTCAGGTGTATATCAGTATGTAGTGTCTCTACTTTAAAGAGTCCTCTCCTGCTGATGTTCAGGTGTATATCAGTATGTAGTGTCTCTACTTTAAAGAGTCCTCTCCTGCTGATGTTCAGGTGTATATCAGCATGTAGTGTCTCTACTTTAAAGAGTCCTCTCCTGCTGATGTTCAGGTGTATATCAGTATGTAGTGTCTCTACTTTAAAGAGTCCTCTCCTGCTGATGTTCAGGTGTATATCAGGATGTAGTGTCTCTACTTTAAAGAGTCCTCTCCTGCTGATGTTCAGGTGTATATCAGGATGTAGTGTCTCTACTTTAAAGAGTCCTCTCCTGCTTATGTTCAGGTGTATATCAGGATGTAGTGTCTCTACTTTAAAGAGTCCTCTCCTGCTGATGTTCAAGTGTATATCAGCATGTAGTGTCTCTACTTTAAAGAGTCCTCTCCTGCTGATGTTCAGGTGTATATCAGTATGTAGTGTCTCTACTTTAAAGAGTCCTCTCCTGCTGATGTTCAGGTGTATATCAGTATGTAGGGTCTCTACTTTAAAGAGTCCTCTCCTGCTGATGTTCAGGTGTATATCAGTATGTAGTGTCCCTACTTTAAAGAGTCCTCTCCTGCTGATGTTCAGGTGTATATCAGTATGTAGTGTCTCTACTTTAAAGAGTCCTCTCCTGATGATGTTCAGGTGTATATCAGTATGTAGTGTCTCTACTTTAAAGAGTCCTCTCCTGCTGATGTTCAGGTGTATATCAGTGTGAAGTGTCTCTACTTTAAAGAGTCCTCTCCTGATGATGTTCAGGTGTATATCAGTATGTAGTGTCTCTACTTTAAAGAGTCCTCTCCTGCTGATGTTCAGGTGTATATCAGTGTGAAGTGTCTCTACTTTAAAGAGTCCTCTCCTGCTGATGTTCAGGTGTATATCAGTATGTAGTGTCTCTACTTTAAAGAGTCCTCTCCTGCTGATGTTCAGGTGTATATCAGTATGTAGTGTCTCTACTTTAAAGAGTCCTCTCCTGCTGATGTTCAGGTGTATATCAGTATGTAGTGTCTCTACTTTAAAGAGTCCTCTCCAGCTGATGTTCAGGTGTATATCAGTATGTAGTGTCTCTACTTTAAAGAGTCCTCTCCTGCTGATGTTCAGGTGTATATCAGTATGTAGAGTCTCTACTTTAAAGAGTCCTCTCCTGCTGATGTTCAGGTGTATATCAGTATGTAGTGTCTCTACTTTAAAGAGTCCTCTCCTGCTGATGTTCAGGTGTATATCAGTATGTAGTGTCTCTACTTTAAAGAGTCCTCTCCTGCTGATGTTCAGGTGTATATCAGTATGTAGAGTCTCTACTTTAAAGAGTCCTCTCCTGCTGATGTTCAGGTGTATATCAGTATGTAGAGTCTCTACTTTAAAGAGTCCTCTCCTGCTGATGTTCAGGTGTATATCAGTATGTAGAGTCTCTACTTTAAAGAGTCCTCTCCTGCTGATGTTCAGTGTATATCAGTATGTAGAGTCTCTACTTTAAAGAGTCCTCTCCTGCTGATGTTCAGGTGTATATCAGTATGTAGTGTCTCTACTTTAAAGAGTCCTTTCCTTCTGATGTTCAGGTGTATATCAGTATGTAGTGTCTCTACTTTAAAGAGTCCTCTCCTGCTGATGTTCAGGTGTATATCAGTATGTAGTGTCTCTACTTTAAAGAGTCCTCTCCTGCTGATGTTCAGGTGTATATCAGTATGTAGTGTCTCTACTTTAAAGAGTCCTCTCCTGCTGATGTTCAGGTGTATATCAGTATGTAGTGTCTCTACTTTAAAGAGTCCTCTCCTGCTGATGTTCAGGTGTATATCAGTATGTAGTGTCTCTACTTTAAAGAGTCCTCTCCAGCTGATGTTCAGGTGTATATCAGTATGTAGTGTCTCTACTTTAAAGAGTCCTCTCCTGCTGATGTTCAGGTGTATATCAGTATGTAGAGTCTCTACTTTAAAGAGTCCTCTCCTGCTGATGTTCAGGTGTATATCAGTATGTAGTGTCTCTACTTTAAATAGTCCTCTCCTGCTGATGTTCAGGTGTATATCAGTATGTAGTGTCTCTACTTTAAAGAGTCCTCTCCTGCTGATGTTCAGGTGTATATCAGTATGTAGAGTCTCTACTTTAAAGAGTCCTCTCCTGCTGATGTTCAGGTGTATATCAGTATGTAGAGTCTCTACTTTAAAGAGTCCTCTCCTGCTGATGTTCAGGTGTATATCAGTATGTAGAGTCTCTACTTTAAAGAGTCCTCTCCTGCTGATGTTCAGGTGTATATCAGTATGTAGAGTCTCTACTTTAAAGAGTCCTCTCCTGCTGATGTTCAGGTGTATATCAGTATGTAGTGTCTCTACTTTAAAGAGTCCTTTCCTTCTGATGTTCAGGTGTATATCAGTATGTAGTGTCTCTACTTTAAAGAGTCCTCTCCTGCTGATGTTCAGGTGTATATCAGTATGTAGTGTCTCTACTTTAAAGAGTCCTCTCCTGCTGATGTTCAGGTGTATATCAGTATGTAGTGTCTCTACTTTAAAGAGTCCTCTCCTGCTGATGTTCAGGTGTATGTCAGTATGTAGTGTCTCTACTTTAAAGAGTCCTTTCCTTCTGATGTTCAGGTGTATATCAGTATGTAGTGTCTCTACTTTAAAGAGTCCTCTCCTGCTGATGTTCAGGTGTATATCAGTATGTAGTGTCTCTACTTTAAAGAGTCCTCTCCTGCTGATGTTCAGGTGTATATCAGTATGTAGTGTCTCTACTTTAAAGAGTCCTTTCCTTCTGATGTTCAGGTGTATATCAGTATGTAGTGTCTCTACTTTAAAGAGTCCTCTCCTGCTGATGTTCAGGTGTATATCAGTATGTAGTGTCTCTACTTTAAAGAGTCCTCTCCTGCTGATGTTCAGGTGTATATCAGTATGTAGTGTCTCTACTTTAAAGAGTCCTCTCCTGCTGATGTTCAGGTGTATATCAGTATGTAGTGTCTCTACTTTAAAGAGTCCTCTCCTGCTGATGTTCAGGTGTATATCAGTATGTAGTGTCTCTACTTTAAAGAGTCCTCTCCAGCTGATGTTCAGGTGTATATCAGTATGTAGTGTCTCTACTTTAAAGAGTCCTCTCCTGCTGATGTTCAGGTGTATATCAGTATGTAGAGTCTCTACTTTAAAGAGTCCTCTCCTGCTGATGTTCAGGTGTATATCAGTATGTAGTGTCTCTACTTTAAAGAGTCCTCTCCTGCTGATGTTCAGGTGTATATCAGTATGTAGTGTCTCTACTTTAAAGAGTCCTCTCCTGCTGATGTTCAGGTGTATATCAGTATGTAGTGTCTCTACTTTAAAGAGTCCTCTCCTGCTGATGTTCAGGTGTATATCAGTATGTAGTGTCTCTACTTTAAAGAGTCCTCTCCAGCTGATGTTCAGGTGTATATCAGTATGTAGTGTCTCTACTTTAAAGAGTCCTCTCCTGCTGATGTTCAGGTGTATATCAGTATGTAGAGTCTCTACTTTAAAGAGTCCTCTCCTGCTGATGTTCAGGTGTATATCAGTATGTAGTGTCTCTACTTTAAAGAGTCCTCTCCTGCTGATGTTCAGGTGTATATCAGTATGTAGTGTCTCTACTTTAAAGAGTCCTCTCCTGCTGATGTTCAGGTGTATATCAGTATGTAGTGTCTCTACTTTAAAGAGTCCTCTCCTGCTGATGTTCAGGTGTATATCAGTATGTAGTGTCTCTACTTTAAAGAGTCCTCTCCTGCTGATGTTCAGGTGTATATCGCACCTTAGCCTATCACGTACAATGTGTTGGAGCGCTAACCAATAGAAGCACGAGTATATACTGATGTCACCATGTTCCGGAAGTAAACAAAGGAGTCCAAGGCTGTAGAAACAAACCAACTTTCTTGAGAAACGTTCTCATTTTCTGTTTGTCTTTTTGTGTTAATGTCTTCCTTATCCTACCCAGTATTTATTCTGTATCATCCTCTGTTCTGCAGCTGCGTCTGTAGCGAAGGAGCTGAGGTCTGCGATGTCTCAGGATCAGTCTGGATCAGTTTCTCAGGGTTTGGTTCATCATGCTGTCACCGCCTCGACCAGAATCAGCTCTGAGACTTCACTCAAATCTGATCTGAGTCCTGCTGCAATCCCAGAATCCCCCAGCATGAACAGAGGCGGATACAATCGAGGTGAGGTCAATGCTTTAATATATCATACTGCGCATCAGAGGTGGGAAGTAGTGGAGTACAAATACTTCGTTACTGCACTTAAGTACATTTTACTGGTATCAGTATTTTACTCCACTACTTATTTATTTATACGACTTTTTACTTTGACTTCTCACATGTTGAACACTAATACCTGTACTTTCTACTTCTTACATGTTGAACACAAATACCTGTACTTTCTACTTCTTACATGTTGAACTCAAATACCTGTACTTTCTACTTCTCACATGTTGAACCCAAATACCTGTACTTTCTACTTCTTACATGTTGAACACAAATACCTGTACTTTCTACTTCTTACATGTTGAACACAAATACCTGTACTTTCTACTTCTCACATGTTGAACCCAAATACCTGTACTTTCTACTTCTAACATGTTGAACCCAAATACCTGTACTTTCTACTTCTTACATGTTGAACTCAAATACCTGTACTTTCTACTTCTCACATGTTGAACCCAAATACCTGTACTTTCTACTTCTTACATGTTGAACCCAAATACCTGTACTTTCTACTTCTCACATGTTGAACTCAAATACCTGTACTTTCTACTTCTCACATGTTGAACCCAAATACCTGTACTTTCTACTTCTCTCATTTCCCAAACAGGCTGGTTCCTTTAGTTTGAATGTGTGTTTGGTGGCGTGATCATTATTATTTAGAGTCATTGCGTGCCTATTGATTTGAACACGATCCGTGTATCCATCATTTCCTGGTCTTCTCTAAAGAAGAGGGACCAATGAAAACGTTGTCATGTTGCCGTTGTTCAGCATGGAAACATTCATTAGCTAACAATGACATTATTGTTCTATTAAAGGTGGGGTAGGTAAGTTTGAGAAACCGGCTCGAGATCGCTAGAATTTGAAAATACACAGCCGGAGAAAATCTGCCACTTCCTCACAGAGCCCCTCCTCCAACACACACGAACGCACACATGACCAATGAGGGCACGAGATAAGTTTGTGCACAGATGGAAGGCTGACAGGCAGGTAGGCCATCCAGTTATTTTAGCCGGGCCGGCTCAGATGATTGGTCGTGCTTTTTACAGTACTACAGCTTCCACAGATGATATTTATTTATGGATTTATTGTCAAAGCATTTGAGATATTCATTGCTATCAGGATGTTAAGAGCATTCCATGGAATATAACAACAAGTGTATCTCGAGCCGGTTTCTCAAACTTACCTACCCCACCTTTAAGTAAAAGGGAGGTCAGGTACTCTTTAAAACAGATGGTAGTTATGGGTACTTTTTACTGAAGTACATTTCAAAGCCCATACTTCTTTACTTTTACTTGAGTAAAGAAGATTAGTCAGTACTTCTACTTTTACCAGAGTATTTGTATCTGTACTTCTACTTGATGTGTGTACTTTTGCCATCTCTGCTGCACATATATCTTCTGAAAGATGTGAGTGGTCAGTTCACGTTGTGAGTCTTTTGGGAAATGTAGTTTTATGTGTTTTATCTCTTCAGACGTCGCTGAACCCAAACCACACCTTCCTCTTTCGGCCATGAGCAAACCCAACACAGAGTCTTCTTCTGCTGTATCATCTTCATCACCTGCTATATCATCTTCATCACCTGTTGTAACGTCTTCATCACCTGCTGTATCTTCTTCACCTGCTGTATCATCTTCATCACCTGCTGTATCTTCTTCAAGTCTCCCAGCATCTCAGGAGTCGACCGTAAAGCCGGGGGAATATCCCTTTCAGAGATGTGAGTTCAACTGGTGATCTGTCTCTGGAATAAAGGTCCCGGTCTGTGTTTGAGGCTTACGTATTATTAAATAAAAAATGTTTTTAGCCTTTAATGTAACGTTAAATAATTAAAAATAATTGTTTTCATTTTTAATACAAATATATTTGTATTTATAATAATTTCTGTATTATTTTTTTACATAAAAAAATACATTTTGATTTAAGGCTATTTCGAATTGTATTTCATTTATTTCAATGTATTATTTAATAATACTTTTTTGACATATATTATTCTTATTATTTTTTTCAGGTAAAATAACTGCTTTTAATTTAAGGCTTTAAGAGTTAAGCTTGTTTCTTTTTATTGTTTTATTTATACATGTTCTGATAAACTAAGTCAATAAAATTTCTTAAAAGGATTTAAAATATCTATATTATCAATGATCTGTTTTCCAATATTTGCCACTTTTACACTTTTTACGTTTTTTTGTGTCTTTCTAATTAATAATAAATCATTTTCTTCTCATTCATTTAGTACCAGTTCTCAAGACGCCCAGTCCCAGTCTGAAGAGGAGTGTGAGCTTCCCTCAGCCTGCAGGTAAAATACACTGACGGCCCGTCCACACGGCAGCGTCGCGTGCTTCAACGGAGACGCTTCCCCTTCACTTTGAATGGGGTGACGTCACGCTTTGCCGAACTGCATTGTGGTTCCGTCGCGTCGCTTTGCCTCCGTTGCTCGCTCCGAAAGTTGAGAAAAGTTAAACTTTTCAAGCGTCAAACGGAAGAGCCAGCCAATCAAATCGTATGCCAGTACAAGCGCTAGCCAATCAAACCGCGTGCTTGTGTGTCCGGGGCGGGAGATTCATGTGATTGGTTGTTGGTCGCACGCCAGACACGCCCACCGGCGAGCTTCAACGTGACGCTGCCGTGTGGACGTACCGCAAAGATACACTTTACATTTATTAAAGCAACAACAGCGTTTAAAATTATGTCCTTTTGTTGTTGTTGTTGTTGTTGTTGTTGTAGCTTTGAATGCAGGATATTTTACATTATTTGGGTTATTTTTACTCTTTGAATTTATCTTCTGCCATCAGATGGAAATGAGCTTTTTTGCTATAATCTGGCATCTCTTCTGTTTTTGAGACATTCATGTATTTTTATGCATGGTCCTTGTTCCGAAAAGATTTATAATAATAATGTAAATATAATGATAATAATCTCTCTATTCACTTGTTTTCTGTTTCTGTAGAAAAATTACTTCCCTCCAAATCTATCATCAAATCTGGTTTCTCACCGAGTTTGGAGAAGTGAGTTGTGCCAATAAACACGTACTCATGACTAATGTTAGATTAATTACATCAAATAAGATTCATTTTGCAAACTAGCATAATAATAAGGCCTCGCTAAAGCCTGTCTGCAGCCTCACTTCACATGTAATTGTATATTTTGTCCTCTGTTTGTCCTCAGGAAGGTGAATAAGGCGCCAGGCGTTGAGTTTAAACAGGAGTTAATGAAATCTCAAACGCTGCCTCGCTCTAACAGCGCTCAGGCCAAGAGGGCGCTGTTTGAGAGAATGAACTCCGAGCCCATTAAGTGAGTTCTTCATGTCTCTTCTTCATCAACATGTGTCCCCTCTTCTTCATGTCTCTTCTTCATCAACATGTGTCCCCTCTTCTTCATGTCTCTTCTTCATCAACATGTGTCCCCTCTTCTTCATGTCTCTTCTACATCAACATGTGTCCCCTCTTCTTCATGTCTCTTCTACATCAACATGTGTCCCCTCTTCTTCATGTCTCTTCTTCATCAACATGTGTCCCCTCTTCTTCATGTCTCTTCTTCATCAACATGTGTCCCCTCTTCTTCATGTCTCTTCTTCATCAACATGTGTCCCCTCTTCTTCATGTCTCTTCTTCATCAACATGTGTCCCCTCTTCTTCATGTCTCTTCTTCATCAACATGTGTCCCCTCTTCTTCATGTCTCTTCTTCATCAACATGTGTCCCCTCTTCTTCATGTCTCTTCTTCATCAACATGTGTCCCCTCTTCTTCATGTCTCTTCTACATCAACATGTGTCCCCTCTTCTTCATGTCTCTTCTACATCAACATGTGTCCCCTCTTCTTCATGTCTCTTCTTCATCAACATGTGTCCCCTCTTCTTCATGTCTCTTCTACATCAACATGTGTCCCCTCTTCTTCATGTCTCTTCTTCATCAACATGTGTCCCCTCTTCTTCATGTCTCTTCTACATCAACATGTGTCCCCTCTTCTTCATGTCTCTTCTTCATCAACATGTGTCCCCTCTTCTTCATGTCTCTTCTTCATCAACATGTGTCCCCTCTTCTTCATGTCTCTTCTTCATCAACATGTGTCCCCTCTTCTTCATGTCTCTTCTTCATCAACATGTGTCCCCTCTTCTTCATGTCTCTTCTACATCAACATGTGTCCCCTCTTCTTCATGTCTCTTCTACATCAACATGTGTCCCCTCTTCTTCATGTCTCTTCTACATCAACATGTGTCCCCTCTTCTTCATGTCTCTTCTTCATCAACATGTGTCCCCTCTTCTTCATCAACATGTGTCCCCTCTTCTTCATCAACATGTGTCCCCTCTTCTTCATCAACATGTGTCCCCTCTGTGGAAAGAGACTCTGAAAGTTTCAGGAACAAAGATTCTCTCTCTTTTTGATCCATTTCTATAAAAACCTGTCTGAAAATGAGCTGATCAGATTTTGGCCACTTTATGATGTCATAACGATGTTTTGTCTTGAGTAACCGTTAGCCAATCAGCAACCAAGGTAAATCCAATATCACTGACATGTTTTCCTTCATTGATTTTTCCTTTCTGTCGAACAGACCAAAGGATTCGAAGCCGAAGCTGAAGCGCTCTCAGAGTTTCGGACCTTCGAGCGCCAGCGGGATAAAACAGATGCTGCTTGAGTGGTGCCGCTCCAAAACCATCGGATATCAGGTAAAACTCCACATATTCAAATAGTATTTTCTCAGCTTCGTACTAAATAAACCAACGACTTGACTCACAATATTGATTTAAAAATGGTCGAGTTGCCTTCCTTAAGAAAAAATGGTCCGTTCCACTACGTACTACCGTTCTTCTTCTGCTGTTCCCTTTAGTGTTTACTTCCTGTCTGTCTTCTTCTGCTGTTCCCTTTAGTGTTTACTTCCTGTCTGTCTTCTTCTACTGTTCCCTTTAGTGTTTACTTCCTGTTTGTCTTCTTCTGCTGTTCCCTTTAGTGTTTACTTCCTGTCTGTCTTCTTCTGCTGATTTCTCTGACGTCCAGCTCTCTGTCTTTTAACCTCTTTCCTTCTCTTATTCACTTTTTTCTTTACTGGGGACAGTTGAGCCGTGTTTAGACATAGTCCCTTGATCCTCCTTAGCAACAGTCTGCTCCCCTTAGCAACAGTCTGCTCCCCTTAGTCTGCTCTCTTTAGCAACGGCCTGCTCTCCTTAGCAACAGTCTGCTCCCCTTAGCAACGGTCTGCTCTCTTTAGCAACGCTCTGCTCTCCTTAGCAACGGTCTGCTCCCCTTAGCAACGCTCTGCTCTCCTTAGCAACAGTCTGCTCCCCTTAGCAACGGTCTGCTCTCTTTAGCAACGGTCTGCTCTCTTTAGCAACGCTCTGCTTGCGAACATTGCAGACCTCTGGAATGTCAAAATAGACCAATCAGAATTGTGTATTCAACTGTCTATGAAGGAAACTGAATAAACCGTATATCAGATTAAATATGATGCTGTTTTTATGTTGTTTTTTCTCTCAGAACATCGATATGCAGAACTTCTCGTCCAGCTGGAGCGATGGGATGGCGTTCTGCGCTCTCGTTCACTCCTTCTTCCCGCTGGACTTTGACTACAATGCGCTGGAACCAAAGAACCGCAAACAGAACCTGCAGCAGGCGTTCACCACCGCAGAGTGAGTACTCTGGAGTATCTGTTCTATGAGTAGAAGTATTAGTAGTTCAAGGTAAAGGTAGTACAATTGATCTTTTAAAGGATCCACTGTTTGGTTTCTTCTCAGCGAGTATTTTTGATATTCAAATCAGAAAGGTGTTAAAAAGTAACACAAGGCTAAAATGTATTTGCTTTATTTCAAGGTATTTTTTTTCAAAATATGAATCATTGTTGAACATTTGAAAATAAAAATGTACGTTATTTTTTATTATATTTTTCCCATTTAGTTGATTTGTTTTCAATTACATAATTTAAAAAAAATAAGTAATTTATTTATCTAAGAATATGAAATCTTTGAAATAATTTTTTCCTTAAAATGTGTAGATTTTTTAGGAAATGAACAGAACATTTCAAGATTAAGATTTTTTATTTTACATATAGGTAACTTGAATAGATAGACAATAATCACACATCACTAACTCATATTTTAGGTTACATATTTACATATCAATTGTAACTTAATGTGAGCATTTCTGTTGTCTTTCAGCAGAAACCAGTGAAACCTTTTGGAGTATTTACAATTTATTTATTGTGCGTTTCAGGAAGCAGGCGGACTGTCTGCGTCTGATCGAGGTCGACGACATGCTGGTGATGGGCGACAGGCCGGACGCGATGTGTGTGTTCACCTACGTCCAGTCTCTGTACAACCACCTGAAGACGTTCGAGTAACTCTGTATCAGAGGAGATTATACATTAAAGGTCACCTATTATGCAAAATTCATGTCTCTTCTTCATCAACATGTGTCCCCTCTTCTTCATGTCTCTTCTTCATCAACATGTGTCCCCTCTTCTTCATGTCTCTTCTTCATCAACATGTGTCCCCTCTTCTTCATGTCTCTTCTTCATCAACATGTGTCCCCTCTTCTTCATGTCTCTTCTACATCAACATGTGTCCCCTCTTCTTCATGTCTCTTCTTCATCAACATGTGTCCCCTCTTCTTCATGTCTCTTCTTCATCAACATGTGTCCCCTCTTCTTCATGTCTCTTCTTCATCAACATGTGTCCCCCTCTTCTTCATGTCTCTTCTACATCAACATGTGTCCCCTCTTCTTCATGTCTCTTCTTCATCAACATGTGTCCCCTCTTCTTCATGTCTCTTCTACATCAACATGTGTCCCCTCTTCTTCATGTCTCTTCTTCATCAACATGTGTCCCCTCTTCTTCATGTCTCTTCTTCATCAACATGTGTCCCCTCTTCTTCATGTCTCTTCTTCATCAACATGTGTCCCCTCTTCTTCATGTCTCTTCTTCATCAACATGTGTCCCCTCTTCTTCATGTCTCTTCTACATCAACATGTGTCCCCTCTTCTTCATGTCTCTTCTTCATCAACATGTGTCCCCTCTTCTTCATGTCTCTTCTTCATCAACATGTGTCCCCTCTTCTTCATGTCTCTTCTACATCAACATGTGTCCCCTCTTCTTCATGTCTCTTCTTCATCAACATGTGTCCCCTCTTCTTCATGTCTCTTCTTCATCAACATGTGTCCCCTCTTCTTCATGTCTCTTCTTCATCAACATGTGTCCCCTCTTCTTCATGTCTCTTCTACATCAACATGTGTCCCCTCTTCTTCATGTCTCTTCTACATCAACATGTGTCCCCTCTTCTTCATGTCTCTTCTTCATCAACATGTGTCCCCTCTTCTTCATGTCTCTTCTTCATCAACATGTGTCCCCTCTTCTTCATGTCTCTTCTACATCAACATGTGTCCCCTCTTCTTCATGTCTCTTCTTCATCACCATGTGTCCCCTCTTCTTCATCAACATGTGTCCCCTCTTCTTCATGTCTCTTCTTCATCAACATGTGTCCCCTCTTCTTCATGTCTCTTCTTCATCAACATGTGTCCCCTCTTCTTCATGTCTCTTCTACATCAACATGTGTCCCCTCTTCTTCATGTCTCTTCTACATCAACATGTGTCCCCTCTTCTTCATGTCTCTTCTTCATCAACATGTGTCCCCTCTTCTTCATGTCTCTTCTACATCAACATGTGTCCCCTCTTCTTCATGTCTCTTCTACATCAACATGTGTCCCCTCTTCTTCATGTCTCTTCTTCATCAACATGTGTCCCCTCTTCTTCATGTCTCTTCTTCATCAACATGTGTCCCCTCTTCTTCATGTCTCTTCTTCATCAACATGTGTCCCCTCTTCTTCATGTCTCTTCTACATCAACATGTGTCCCCCTCTTCTTCATGTCTCTTCTTCATCAACATGTGTCCCCTCTTCTTCATGTCTCTTCTTCATCAACATGTGTCCCCTCTTCTTCATGTCTCTTCTACATCAACATGTGTCCCCTCTTCTTCATGTCTCTTCTTCATCAACATGTGTCCCCTCTTCTTCATGTCTCTTCTTCATCAACATGTGTCCCCTCTTCTTCATGTCTCTTCTACATCAACATGTGTCCCCTCTTCTTCATGTCTCTTCTTCATCAACATGTGTCCCCTCTTCTTCATGTCTCTTCTTCTTCATCAACATGTGTCCCCTCTTCTTCATGTCTCTTCTTCATCAACATGTGTCCCCTCTGTGGAAAGAGACTCTGAAAGTTTCAGGAACAAAGATTCTCTCTCTTTTTGATCCATTTCTATAAAAACCTGTCTGAAAATGAGCTGATCAGATTTTGGCCACTTGATGATGTCATAACGATGTGTTGTCTTGTGTAACCATTAGCCAATCACCAACCAAGGTAACCCCCCCCCCCCCCCCCCCCCCCACCTTATCACCTGAATCTCCTCCTAGAGCACCATTGAGTTCTTTGTAACCAAATGTCTCTCAGAGGGGCGTGGGGAGGGGCTCCTTATTTTCATCTAAAGTAACAGACAGAGAATCAGCACTTTGGAAACAGGGCTGAAACAGAGGGGATTATGGGTAATGCTGCAATGATCTGTTTGGTGTTTCAGCCAATCAGAGACAGGCTCTGGATATATCTGAGACCTGTGATATATTGATGAGAAACAGTATGACAGGGGAACTTTAATAACCATTGTGTGTCATGAACACTTTGAATAAGCTCAACAGGAAACCACTGCTGTTTGAACCACATGAGAATTTAATGTTTGATAAAGCAGTTTTTCCTTTAGTATTTACACTGATTCAGTTTCTTATCACGTGTATTGTGACGCTAATATTGCTGTATTTTTTTGTAGTTCTCAAATGCTGTATCCAAAGAAAGGTAAGATTAAAGATTGTAATAGCTGCTGTCTGTTGATCAATCAGTGTTAAGAAAAGACTTATGAGTATAGGGATACTAAGGTGTAAGTGTATGGCATGACACTACCAGAGGTTAAAGGTATTTTTATTTTGTAATGTACTTTTAAATGTCAAAGAGACATATGGTAAGTGTACGTCTGTAAATGACAGAAGCGAGAGACGATAGTGAGGAATAACAGAAACAGAATTGGCAGGTGTATCGTGGTATATGTGAGTAATGTGAGTAATGTGAGTAATGTGAGTAATGCTGGGAAACGTTGATGTGTTTATGCAATAATGTGATTCTAACGATCTGCTTTTAAATATCAAGAAAAAGACGTTGGTGCTGCTTTTTCATTATAAGTATGCAGGGCTGTTGGAGAACCATTCATACAAATCTTGATGGATTTTGTACATAGCATTGTGGTCGTGTTGGCAAATAAAACCTTTTGAAAGTTGTATGTTTGAACTGTGTCAGAGAAAGATTTGTTAAATAAATAATAGTTTGTTGCCATCTACTGGTTGAACACATGCAATGGGCCAATAGCTGCTCATGTTCAGGTCATATTTGTATGTTGTGTCGTTACTCTGACATGTTTACATTAATGTTCTCTTAATGTTAAGAGAAACTCTCTCTGGAGGGATTTTAGCCTTTGCAGACCATTTACATGCACTAAAACCTATATAACACACTAAAACCTATATAACACACTAAAACCTATATAACACACTAAAACCAGAACAGGAAAACCCAAAATGCAGAGTATGGCCTCTTTAACAAATATGTTACCTCCACCCTGAAACATGTGTGCTAATGTTTTAACCTTCCTTACAAGTAATTTTTAAGACTACATTTTTTTCGCATTTTTGGGATCTGTGTTTGACGATGCAATTTTTATTTTACTGTTAAGACAATAATTTAGCTTGTACTCACAAAATGCAATGTCTGTGAATGTTTAGGCTTAAGAGAATATTATTAACCAGAGGCCTGCACTACGAAGCTGGATGTTCTCTTAGCTAACTTCAGGGAAAGCTCGGGCTTTCCGGTCCTACGACGCTGGTTCTCTTTTTAGCGGGCTAGATCTCCATGGTAACTGATGCTGAGCGGCTAACCTCCTCGGGAGCAGGTTAGGTTGCAGGCTAAGAGATCAACTCAGTGAAAGCACCGCCTGCTGACCAATCAGAGCTCAGTGTGCGGAGTTTAAAGCGATCAAGTCATATTACAGGATAGAGGAAATACAGAAAAACTGCCGTTGCAGGAAAGACGGCCGGCAAAAATCACTGACTGTGTGAACGTGAACATTAATAGAATATCCCCTCCCATCTTCAGAGCAATCTGACTATTATAACATTAGCGTTAAGAAAGCTTACTTAAATATCTGCCACAACATAAGTAACTGGATCAGAGTAACATTAAGTACAGTCCGCAGCACTGTGAGTGCAGACGTCGATGTGTCCCATTATCATTCATATCATATCATAATGTATCATATATTTCCTTATCTGAGTCAGCTGAGCCGTATCTGGCCGTGCAACACTCACAGTGTCACATACTGTATGCAGAAGTATTATTTTAAGCAACACATTAAGTTGACGAAACACTGGAGTCAAATGTAATTAAAGTCAGATCGTGTCTTGGACGGGGCAGTGATATCATAAACCTGTTAATGTACGCATTCAAACACTTTCCATATCCTTATCTTAGCGAGAGCGCGTATGTTTTGGATTGGGCCAACCGGCTAACTCAAACATATCCAGGTTAGGTTGAACCGGCTTCGTAGTACAGGCCTCAGGTGGTAAATTAAAGTGGTAACTTCAAAATACCACATTGTTTTGAGTCATTCGTTAGGATTGAAATGTTATAAGCAGGACAAATATGGCTCGAAAAGCATATAATAAACAATAACTGGCATCAGTATAAATGACTTAGAGCAGCAGTTCCTAACCTTTTTCAACTCAGGTCCCACTTAAGAATCAAAAAAATGTTCGCGGCCCACATTCAACCATAAACAATACGGAGGCTAAATAAAGTTCTGATTGGTCGATTCAGAACATGTGACACGTTGTAAATCCAGTATAACAGACCTCTGTCAAGGACTGTAATGACGGCTAAGGAGGGTCGAGAAAGAAAAAGGAAATGAGGTTCAAATTAAAAAAAATCTTAATAATGAAAATGTTTCCACACAAATCATAATGTTTTGCAAATTATTTGGCGGCAAATATTGAATTTACACCCTTTAATATTTAATTTGGGCTTTTAGATGAAATGCAACTATTCTTCTAGCGAAAATACATATTTTTAAAAGTCAATCAAGGAGTAATCTTAATTGAAGGTGTTGCCACAAAAAATCAAAGGGTGGCTCAACACGCCATGAAATGGGAAATAATGAGCTCTAACGAAGAGTGGAACTAATACCCCATTCACACCAACGGTGTTTCGGGGCCGGTTCGGAGCTGGAGCTTGAAAAGCACCGGGTTTCCCTGTTCACACCGCAACGGAGCCGCCTCTAAGCTCCGGAATCCGGTTCGTTTCGAGCACCAAAAAGTTGTCCGTCTAGAAGCAAGAACCGCATACGTCACGCTTACGTCGGAGGGGGGCGAGATTAACCTGAGCTAACAGTTAAGGCGAGTACGGCAAATAAAAGTTGTAACCAGCAGTAGTGCTGAGCAAAGTGACTAGAACACAACCACACACTTGTAAAAAAAAAACACGCTTTCTAAAGTCAGGCAACACTAACCAGGCTTCGTGTGATTCTGTTTATTTGTACCTTACTTTGACCATCCGTTCACTGTTATTGATCATTGTGGAGAGCAGGCAGACGTTTGTTATTATAGCAGCTATCGGATGGAATCAATACATGGGCTGCACAGGTTGTCATGTCCGACTATCACAAGTAGAATCATAATGAAAAATACGCCGGTAAAAAGTGCCTGTAGAAAACGGCTTAGCAAGTAGTCAGTTTAGCTTCGGTTGCTATGCTAACATCACCCATGTTATACCAGAGAAACTTTCATAACAGCGTTGTGATGCCAAACAGCGTCAATTCAGACTGACACACATTCACTTAAGGGGAACTGGGGATATGTATCAGCTGCTTGTGTGACAGTCAGACAGTGAATACTTTAGAGCCGTGTGAGCTAACCCGGAGCTAACGGGAGAATAAACTCCCGTGGAAGAGCAGCCAGCACTGCAGCGGTCGCTAAATGAAACACATTAATAAACAATGAACCACGGCACTCTGGAGAAAAGTATAAGGTTGGAGAAGTCGTTATTTAATTTAATCTGGCTTCGTATGATTAAAAGCAACACGATCATCGACCCGACGCAGTCCCCGGCCCGTTGTTGTGAGGTGAGCTCCGTTGGGGAGAAACTCAGCGACGTAAACTGTGACGTCATGACGCAGCAGCGGCAGCACCAGTCGGGCTCTGAGCGGTGTGAACAGAGCGGGAGCTGAACCGAAGAACCGGTTCTGAACCTGAAAAGCTCTAGCACGGAGCTAGAACGGGAAAAGCCTTGGTGTGAAAGGGGTATCTAGGAACAATACATATGCTTGCCATGTTGTGTTTTTGGTGGTTTTTGGTTGTCAACCTATTTTTGTTTGTAAAATGTTGAAGTGAACCAACTGACTGTATCTTTATTTCTCCTGTTTTTGTTTTGTTGTTGTCTGAGATGGGAATGTCATCCCCTATATGTTATTGTTATGTCCATGTTTGTTTCTTTAGCCTGTACAAAAAAAAATAAAAGTGGCGGCCCACTTGCAATGCCTTCGTGGACCACTAGTGGGCCGCGGCCCACAGGTTGGGAACCGCTGGCTTTACAGTCATGTGTACAAACAGTCCTTACAGTTATTGTTTATTTAGTAGGATTTTCACGCCATATTTGTCCTGCTAATAATATTTGAATCCTAAGGAATGACTCAAAACAATGTGGTATTTAAAAGAAAAGGAAAAACTCAAAAAACTGTAGATTTAAATGTATTTATTTTTTAAATAAAGTAGTACAATATTTATCAAATTCACATTTGGTTTTAGTTGCCCTCTTATTTTTAATAGTGGTGAAATATTGTTGTAACTCTAAGTTATAAAAGATGCTTAATTTGTTTAAAAGAGTAGGAATTTATTAAGTCAGAATCGTTCATTCGTATCGACGGAGTTTTCCAAGATGCATTCACAGCTTCAAAGTTTAATATTAACCCGAAGCAAATTAAAGTGGTAATTTTGAAATACCGCACTGTTTTGAGTCATTCCATATGATTGTATTTAATGTGTTTATGTTGTAAGTAGTACGAATACGTAGTGAAAGGCATACTGAATAAATAATGAGTGTCAGCACTTGGCACTGTAAAGGGGTTGTAATGTAAAAGTAGTGGAAGAATCTTTAAGTCGTATTTACGGAGTTTTTTGAGGGAGCTTGAACGCACCGCTTCCCATTGACCATGCATCCCTTCCGGTAGATGAGGTCAACTTTTCCCCAGATCCGCCATTTCAGTCCCGGAGTTTGTAGTTGCACTTTAGTTTTGACTTTATTTCTGACTCCTTTTAACGTGTTTGTGGATACAGCAGAAGTCCCACCAACTAACAGCGACATCATACATTACTCCTGGAAGTTTTGGTGTTGTGTATATTCTTGTTTTTCCAGGAGGAAACTGGTTAATCCACGAAAGTTTTTGCATGAGTTTCGGATTTATAGGCTGAGCAGGACCCGGGTTCGAATCCTGCTCGCGGACGAATTTTACTGCATGTCATCCATTCTGTGAATAAAAAGCACTGGTTGCAAAAAGAAGGAATAAGGAATAAAAGGCCTTAAAAGCCTCGGCGGGGATTTTCACAGTCATGGCGGGTAACTTTGACGCTGAGGACCGTGGGAGCTGGTTTTGGGGCAGATTGAGCAGGCAGGAAGCCGTTTCTCTGCTCCAGGGAGGCCGGCATGGCGTGTTTTTAGTCCGGGAATCCATCACCAGTCCGGGGGATTACGTGCTGTCCGTGTCCGAAAACTCAAAAGTGTCCCATTATATCATCAACAGCATCAGCAACAACCGGCAGTCTGGATCAGGTAACTGTTCAGTTTATTTATAGCAAGGGATTTCACTGAAACACACCTGATTTCCGTTTTTTGGAATGCTTTGATTTATCTTCCAACCGCCAAACTGCCTTTATGAAATGCCTAATTGAACGTGTTCTTGGGAAATCTGAAGACAATCGTACTCTTTTTAAGGGGGAATTAAGATATATATGTGTTTTTGGATTGTATTCTTAACATCGGGTTGTAATTATAAAGGAAGCTATTTCAGTAAAGACTCCTAATAGTGTTTTTCCATTTTTAACAGCTTTGATTTAGCTGCGTTATCTTCCAACCGCCAAACCCCCTTTATGAATTACCTAATTGAACGTGTTTTGGGGAAATCTGAAATAAATCGTACTCTTTTTACGATTTATTTTTAAATCTGTATGTTGTAGGAATGTATTCTCAACATCGGCTTATATATCATGTATTAATACTCACTATTTTGGCCAAACATGACAACTTTAACATGTGGTTGTTCCCGCCCACTGACCGGTAACTGGCAAGCTACTGTTAGAAAAGAAGAGTATATAGTGCTATTACTCTTTACTGAAAATAAATGTTGGTATTTTTATGAAGCCGATTAAAGTAACCGTTTAAAAGGAAGCCATGAGTACTACTATGAACTAAATATGTATGGTAACTTTTCCGTTATAGCGCCGTTAAGTTACATGGGTTACTTTTTAAATGGAGTCTGGTGTAGTTTCTCCATGGGAGTGCGCCGGACGTTGATGTAAATTGTAGTATAGTGGCCAAACTGTGGTACTACAACTTCCGTGTCAGTCCGTGACGTCACATTCACTTACATTAATGAATTGCTATTTTTTACACAACACCCATATTACACCACTGTAACAGTTATCACAGCCATATTACTCCATTGTTACACCATTATTAAATGCATATTACACCCTTATTATACCAATGTTACACTGTTATTAAATGCATATTACACCCTTATTATACCCATGTCACACTGTTATTAAATGCATATTACACCCTTATTATACCCATGTTACACTGTTATTAGACCATTAAAACACATAGTTCACACCCATTTTACACATGGACACAGCCAGTCAAATGAATGTATCCCCCAGGATATCGAAACCATTTAAGGGTTATTTTTCTAATTATCTACCTAGCTATCAAGAACCAATTCAAATCCACTTTATCGACTATACTTTCTCCTGATGTAGTTTTGAGGCGGTGTTTTGTCCTCACGCAGCCAGTAGATTCAAGGCTTTTATTGTCATGTGTAGATATATCAATGAAAATGTGAGGTCACAGGCTCCTCCAACAATGCAACACAATAAAACAGATAACACAAATAAGTAGGAAGGTACATGCTTTAGGGATTGAATGGGACTGGCAGGCTGAGCTGTCACAACTGGAAGGGGAAGATTGGTGTTTCAGGAATGTTTCTGATCCTCAGGTCTGCTGCTGTAAATCATCCATTGTGGGCCATGACAGGGAGGAACATTACCCAGTTGTGTTCGCTGTTTAAACGAGAAGAGAATATAGTTCCAACATGTGAAACTAGAAGGGAGTACAAACCTCCACCAATGCTGTGATTCCTCTTGTCTGATACAACATGTAATGGCTTCTTAATCCAAACACCTTTCCAACAAGGAAATCATGGCCAGTATTGTTTCTGTAATCCTGCTGAAAAACAAACAGACAAACCGACACTCGAATCAAATGCGAATTTACTGCTTGAACATGTTGGCTAAAACGATCTAGTGTTTGAAATTCGCTTGAAAATGTTGTGGCCTAATGTCACTCCATTGATTGTTATTATTGATTGGATTGGGTCATCCTGTGGTATATCTATTTCTGTCATCCTGTAGAGACTTTGTTATGTTGTCTTTGCCAAGTTCACTTTCTACTAAGTTTGGCTTTTATTATCCTGGTTATTTCAAGAGGAAAGACACTGCCGGTTCCCTCGTTTCTTTCAACATGTTTTTGCCTTTCTTAATGTCCATCTTGGAAACCATTTTTAGCATTTAATGTTATAGCGCCGTAGGAATGAGTTCTAGACCTGGGAATGAGTCAGCATTTTAGCCCTGCTGGTTCCCTTTTTGTTGTGTCCTTCTTACTGTCCAGCATTATTTAGCATGTACTGTTATAACTAGGTGCAGGATTAAGTCCTAACCCCATGTATGAGTTAGCATTTTACCAAATTCTAAGTTTCCTAAATTAATAAAGAAATTCTGATTCTGATTTCTTCAGATTATGTGAAAAGAAAAAACAGGAAATGTGATGTTTTTTAAGGTGGACTTCGGTTTACACTTCTGCACTACCTCCTGATTTAATGCTACAACAATCTCAACTGCACATCTCCAAACATTCTCTTGCACTCTTCATGTTGCTCTGTTGGAGGAGCCTGTGACTTCAGCTTTTCATTGACATATCTACACTGGAGCTCGCTAACCCTAACCCTAACCACTGGAGCTAGCTAACCCTAACCCTAACCACTGGAGCTAGCTAACCCTAACCCTAACCACTGGAGCTCGCTAACCCTAACCCTAACCACTGGAGCTAGCTAACCCTAACCACTGGAGCTCGCTAACCCTAACCCTAACCACTGGAGCTAGCTAACCCTAACCCTAACCACTGGAGCTAGCTAACCCTAACCCTAACCACTGGAGCTAGCTAACCCTAACCCTAACCACTGGAGCTAGCTAACCCTAACCACTGGAGCTCGCTAACCCTAACCACTGGAGCTAGCTAACCCTAACCCTAACCACTGGAGCTAGCTAACCCTAACCCTAACCACTGGAGCTCGCTAACCCTAACCACTGGAGCTAGCTAACCCTAACACTAACCACTGGAGCTAGCTAACCCTAACACTAACCACTGGAGCTAGCTAACCCTAACCCTAACCACTGGAGCTCGCTAACCCTAACACTAACCACTGGAGCTAGCTAACCCTAACACTAACCACTGGAGCTAGCTAACCCTAACCCTAACCACTGGAGCTAGCTAACCCTAACCCTAACCACTGGAGCTAGCTAACCCTAACACTAACCACTGGAGCTAGCTAACCCTAACACTAACCACTGGAGCTAGCTAACCCTAACCCTAACCACTGGAGCTCCCTAACCCTAACCCTAACCACTGGAGCTAGCTAACCCTAACACTAACCACTGGAGCTCGCTAACCCTAACACTAACCACTGGAGCTAGCTAACCCTAACACTAATAAAGCCTTGAATCTTGCATCTAACAAGCCTTTTAAATATTTACACTCTAGCTGTTGGTTTGCCATTAACCCTCTGAGGTCCAATATGTCATATCTACACTGTAGCTGCTGAGCAAATGACAATAAAGCCTTTTAAACTGAAAACTAATCCCCCTCTCTTCCACCAGGTTTGGCTCCTCCTCGGTTTCGGATCGGCGACCAGGAGTTCGAGGCTCTTCCCGCCCTGCTGGAGTTTTACAAAATCCACTATCTGGACACCACCACGCTCATAGAGCCCATAAACAAATCCAAACACACAGGGTTCGTCAGCGCGTCGGCCGGCCCTCCCGTTCTGTCCGACGAGGCCGAGTTCGTCCGGGCGCTTTTCGATTTCCCCGGAAACGATGACGAGGATCTTCCTTTCAAAAAAGGTGACATCTTGAGAGTTCTGGAAAAACCTGAAGAGCAATGGTGGAACGCAGCGAACCAGGTATATTTTCTACTTTCTCTACATCAGGGGGGTCCAAACCTTTTCCCCCGAGGGCCTCATACAGAAGAATATACGAAGGGCTGGGCGGCTCACTAGAGGAATAGAGAGGCGAGGTCCCTCCCTTTCCGGGTTCCTCCATGGGACCTTATTTCAGAAAAGTATGTATTGAAGTCAATGGAGAGAGAAAGATTATCTTTGGATCCCGTTTGAATTGAGCCACGAGTTACACATATGATGTTTGTCAATTTAAAAGATAATTTTGCAAGTCAAAAAAATAAAAATGTGTCGTAAAAATGTGAAGTAAGGTTTTGTTTGTGTGAAACCGCTCAATGAACTCCATCTCCCGTCTCGCACCACACACCCAGACGGCCGTCACGTTGGCACATTTCACTTCTTTCTTTCAGAATGAGGCGGAAAGTATTAAAAGAGGTGGAAATCACTCCAAGTCTGGGCGTGTTGAGAGCTGTACATACACACAAGGGGAGTTAGTCGGTTCATAGGAGCCAGCATGCGGGACCGGGACTCTGGGATTTGTAGTCTTTCTAGTTGCGTATTTTTCATAGTCTTATATTTCAACAGTTTTACGACAAACTGTGACTTTTTTCACATGGAAATTATTATTTAAATTGACAAACATCATATGTGTAATTCATGGCACAATTCAAACGGGATCGAGAGATAATCTTTCTCTCCCCATTGACTTCAATACCTCATTTTTCTGAAATAAGGTCCCATGGAGGTCCACGGAAGGGGAGGGGCTTCGCCTCTCTATACTGCCTCATAAGTTCAGTTATAAGTTAGCAGAATCAATCAGATGTCGGTACATGATGCTTGTGAGTGTAGGCAGCTCATCCCTTAAACCAGAAGCTTCAGATTGATTATAATGAGGAGAAATAGGGAGGGTTTATTTCAAGCTTGTTATGGAAATAAGTCATTGGGCTTTTTGCTTATCAACTAAGATTTGTTAGAGAATGTTTCCAACTTTAATTGACTGAATTTATCTGAAAAGTGGATTCATTAACACATGAATACTACTGTGTAATGTATTCTTACATTTATATTTAAGAAGTACAATATAAGACAATCACAACTTTCATTTGTGGGCCATATTTCATTATACTTTTTTAATTAGCTGAGGGCCGATTCAAAAGGGTCCGCGGGCCGTAGTTTGGACAAACCTGCTCTACACGTATATTTTCTACTTTCCCTTTTCTTTATTGTTTGCCCCGTTTGTTTGTTTGTTTGTTTGTTTGTTTGTTTGTTCACCATGTAAAGCGGCCTTGGGTCCCTTGAAAGGCGCTATACAAATGTAATCTATTATTATGACTTTCTTTTTTTTCAATATATTTTTTATTGACATTTGGCAGCAAACCATTACACAGTGTTTCTTCAAGACATCGTGATTGATCATCTTAAGTTTGTCTGTCCGAACATTACGGAGCGATCAGGACATACGTTTGTAAAAATAAAATCTGGCCTCTGAGGTTTTACGACATCAGTCCACTTTCTCCAATAGTTCCAGTTTGTGATTGACAGATGATGCTATCCTCTCCATTTTGTATATTTTCTACTTTCTTGTTTATTTCTTTTAATTTGTATTGAACAATGCCACGTCTTTTGATGCTGCTGCAACACAAACATTTCCCAAATTGGGATCAATAAAGTACTTGTTATCTTATTGTTTCGTAGGAAGGTCGTGCCGGGATGATTCCAGTCCCCTACGTTGAAAAGTACCGACCCGCCTCACCCACTGGTTCCAGTCCAGTTACTGGTGCTGCTGGAGGGGTTTCGGGCCCCACAGATCCATCGGGGGCCCCTTCAGGAAACCCCCCGGGGGAACCGGGTCCATACGCTCAGCCCGTGGTGAACGCTCAGCTGCCCAATCTACAGAACGGACCCGTTTTCGCCAGAGCGATCCAGAAGAGAGTTCCCAACGCCTACGACAAGACGGCGCTCTCTTTGGAGGTAGTCCTTTTTTCTTTTTTAATGTTATAATTGTACGTGTTTCTGTTTATGTCTGTCTTACTGCCCAGCTTGGATGACATATTTAGTAGGTTCTGTATGGTGTAGTGCAGGAATGAGTCCTAAACTCCGTAATGAGTCGGCATCGCCGGTTGCTTACAAGTGTCTAAATGAGACGACTAAACGTCATCACGTCGAACATTAGCCACCTTTAGCTTAGCGGTGGTGACGTGAAGTCATGTGACCGTGCTGTAGTTCCTTTATAGCCCAACATTAGCCACCTTTAGCTTAGCGGTGGTGACATGTAGTCATGTGACCGTGCTGTAGTTCCTTTATAGCCCAACATTAGCCACCTTTAGCTTAGCGGAGGTGACGTGAAGTCATGTGACCGTACTGTAGTTCCTTTATAGCCCAACATTAGCCACCTTTAGCTTAGCGGTGGTGACGTGAAGTCATGTGACCGTGCTGTAGTTCCTTTATAGCCCAACATTAGCCACCTTTAGCTTAGCGGTGGTGACGTGAAGTCATGTGACCGTACTGTAGTTCCTTTATAGCCCAACATTAGCCACCTTTAGCTTAGCGGAGGTGACGTGAAGTCATGTGACCGTACTGTAGTTCCTTTATAGCCCAACATTAGCAGCCTTTAGCTTAGCGGTGGTGACGTGAAGTCATGTGACCGTGCTGTAGTTCCTTTATAGCCCAACATTAGCCACCTTTAGCTTAGCGGTGGTGACGTGAAGTCATGTGACCGTACTGTAGTTCCTTTATAGCCCAACATTAGCCACCTTTAGCTTAGCGGTGGTGACGTGAAGTCATGTGACCGTACTGTAGTTCCTTTATAGCCCAACATTAGCCACCTTTAGCTTAGCGGTGGTGACGTGAAGTCATGTGACCGTGCTGTAGTTCCTTTATAGCCCAACATTAGCCGCCTTTAGCTTAGCGGTGGTGACGTGAAGTCATGTGACCGTGCTGTTGTTCCTTTATAGCCCAACATTAGCCACCTTTAGCTTAGCGGTGGTGACGTGAAGTCATGTGACCGTGCTGTAGTTCCTTTATAGCCCAACATTAGCCTCCTTTAGCTTAGTGGTGGTGACGTGAAGTCATGTGACCGTGCTGTAGTTCCTTTATAGCCCAACATTAGCCGCCTTTAGCTTAGCGGTGGTAACGTGAAGTCATGTGACCGTGCTGTAGTTCCTTTATAGCCCAACATTAGCCGCCTTTAGCTTAGCGGTGGTGACGTGAAGTCATGTGACCGTGCTGTAGTTCCTTTATAGCCCAACATTAGCCGCCTTTAGCTTAGCGGTGGTAACGTGAAGTCATGTGACCGTGCTGTAGTTCCTTTATAGCCCAACATTAGCCACCTTTAGCTTAGCGGTGGTGACGTGAAGTCATGTGACCGTGCTGTAGTTCCTTTATAGCCCAGCATTAGCCTCCTTTAGCTTAGCGGTGGTGAAATCTCATTGGCTGTTGGTGGTGGGAAACATGAAGATGCTAAAAGATAGCTTCCCTGCACCACTCTATCCTCTGTTTTTTGTTTGTGGTTCTCAGTGTAGATTGTCCCAGTTGTTAATGGCTTACTCATGCATGTGAGAACACACACACACACACACACACACACACACACACACACACACACACACACACAGTGTACTGGGTAGTGGAGATGGCACTATAGAGATCCTCTTCATGAACACACTCTCTTTACGGCCCAGTGGATATCTGAGAGTGTCTCATTGTACATTCATCAGCAGTCGAGCGTCAAGTCCAACGCTTTCTCATGGAACAGAAACATAAACAGTGCTTGTTTATTTAGTTGGTAAACTCCAACAATAGTGGTGGTTAATGTTGTGGGTCTAACAGTGATATAAAGACAGTGTCTCCACATCACACACACTCATTGAACTATACGGTGGGTTATGGGCATAACGTGCCAAAAACACAACTCAAAAACTACATGTATTACTGCTGCCGGTAAAGATGGAGCACTTGATGCAGTTTCTTGTTATAGCATGTATGGATGCTCAATTAACTAAATGAAATCCAAAATATGTGTTAATATTATTTTGAATAATGTATTGTTGAGCTGCAGAGATATCCGGTTCTACAGACTTTTCACAAATATCTGTTTGGTATAGATCCTTTTTTTTATCCCTCAAATGTTGGTGTATCATATCGGTCAAAAGAAATCGCAATAGACTGGAATCAAGGAACAAATGATGAACCTTGGAAGCAACCTGTAACACATATGTTGTCTTGAGTGAAGGTGACAGTATTAGGATGGAAACGTCTCTCAAAAAGTGGCCTTCCCTTTCAAAATAAAAGCTGTCTTCCATGAACACACTGCAGTTCTGTGTGATCATGATGTCTGATGACCTTTCTGTCATTGACACTGCACGATCAATCAGCCCACTGTGTGTGTGTGTGTGTGTGTGTGTGTGTGTGTGTGTGTGTGTGTGTGTGTGTGTGTGTGTGTGTGTTGTGGTGGTGTGTGTGTGTGTGTGTGTGTGGTGTGTGTGTGTGTGTGTGTGTGTGTGTGTGTTGGGTGTGGTGTGTGTGTTGTGTGTGTGTGTTGTGTGTGTGTGTGTGTGTGTGTGTGTGTGTGTGTGTGTGTGTGTGTGTGTGTGTGTGTGTGTGTGTGTGTGTGTTGTGTGTGTGTGTGTGTGTGTGTGTGTGTGTGTGTGTGTGTGGGTGTGTGTGTGGTGTGTGTGTTGTGTGGTGTGTGTGTGTGTGTGGTTGTGTGTGTGTGTGTGTGTGTGTGTGTGTGTGTGTGTGTGTGTGTCCATTTAACGTCAATATAGTTCTTACTGTGGGCGATAAGTTCCTCTCGCATGAACTGAGAGGAAGAATCACATAAAAAGCAATTCATATTCTGTTCTTGTACATATTCTACATGAATATAGACTTCTTGCACTACTGTTTATTTTGTATTTTATTATATATGTTGCGTTGTTGGAGGAGCTCAGGCCAGAAGAAACAGTAGCTGCTGAGCATATGACAATAAAACCTTTGAATCTTGGGATTATTGAACAACCCTCATCGAACCCCTGGATTGATCTCTTTTGTATTGTCTCTCTGCAGGTGGGAGATATGGTGAAAGTGACCAAGATCAACGTGAACGGTCAGTGGGAGGGAGAGTGTAAAGGCAAGCGAGGCCATTTCCCTTTCACACACGTCCGACTGCTGGAACTAAACAACCCCGAGGACGAGAGCTGAGAAACACACACACACTCACACACACACACACACACACACCATCCTCTGGTTCTTATGTCACGCTCTGGAAACATCTAACACACGACGTGACGGGATGTCGTCGTTTTGAAGAGTTTACACTAAGGTGAGACTGATATCGGTTAGCATATGTTAGCTTAGCATTGCACACTGCCCTCCGTTACCTGCCTCCTTGAATACTTCCTACGAAATATGAAATCAAATACATTTAATGAAGCATTTATTGGTTTAGTATTTATTCTAATGTTGAATTCTTGAAAGAAAAACACGGTTATTGTCAGTTGCGAAATTAGCCTAGCTTAGCTTAATGTTAGCAGTTAGCTTCTGAGTCGAGAGAAAAAAAGAAAACTACTTCCGATTAATTCAGATTCTGCTTTGTTTATGGACACTATATCTGGCGTAAATGCTGTTAAATCCTTTCTAGAGAATCCTTAGAAACATGGATTTCTTCCAAAATCCATGTATTTTAACATTAAAACGGGAATTAAACGCAGCAATTTTACCGCACAAGATGCCTATTTTTAATCCCAACTACCCGTTGGACATCATTTATGAGACAAGGTCCAGTTGCAGTCTCGACTTAAAACACTCATAATTAAAGATATTTGTATTAACAATTTTTCCTTTTTAAATCCTGAACCTATCGGCCAGTGCGTTAAAATCTAAAAATGTATATAATATTATTTCAAAACGGCTTTATACGACCAACCCTGTATTGAAGCTCCATACAGAGAATAAATGCCAAAAAACTAGATTATTTTCTGCAATAATCCAAAATCACAAGGGAACCAGGGAGATGCTGCCTTCAGGGTCGGCTACAAAAATAGGACATCCCTACACCACCCTTAAAGCTGTGTGAACAGGAGGTAAGATGCTAACAGAAGCTGCTAACGGTGAAACAACTGTTATGATTGGAATAAAAGGATATAAGAGTGAATATAAGCCTGGAGAATAGTTGTAAAAGATAACAATGTGCATTATTTAGCGTCAGTCGCCGATATCAGTCGAACCGTATAGTTTCCACGCTGCAGCCCAGAACACACACTTCTTCTTCCCTTCCTGTGCTTTCCTGTATCTCACTGATCCACACAGAAGGGAAACCATCAAGAGACAAATCTCCTCACAGAATCAAGTTCCTGTGAAACCTCGGAGTGAAAGACTTTTGGAAACTCCACCGACTTATTTACATCCCACACTACGAACAAAGTCCTCTTTTTTTTTTTTTTGTACTAAAAGTGGAAAATATTACGATAGAATTGACTCTATATATACACACACCTTACATGCTAAATACTGTACTTTCCCTTCTCCTTTATATTTGATTTTGTTACCAGAGACTGTTCACCTGTTATTATATTCTTGTGAAACACTATTCAGCGCCAACGTGGACGACTTTAAACGAGTAAGAAAACGCTTTGAAAAGAAAGCAGAGGCTGTTTTTAGAAGACGAGGAGGAGGAAGGTCGAGGGATTTTATTTTTGTCTTCCAGCAGGGTTTTTTATGACATTGCCACTCCACTTTGAAAACGTTAAACGCTTCAGCATTTCTTTATGTATTCCTGGTGAGACGGCCACTTCATGTCACAGGTTTTCTCATCATCTTAATCCACAATAACATAAACACTCAAAGGCAAGAAATGGTCTATAACTGTAGGAATGTGGTTCTCCTTAATGTCATGTTTGTTTAATGCAAAATGAGCAAATACCAACTCTTAACCTTCCTGTTGTTAATGTTGACCTGCTTTCAATGTTTTTATGTCCCAATAAGGAGGTATTTCATCTAATTGCCACACATTAAGAATCACTACTTTTTATTGAAGTATGTGTTTATTTCAATGTATAGCATCTGTGTCATGATGTGGCGGTGAAAACACAATGACAGCAACACTTTAGTAAGAAAGAGGATCATCCTGTGGTCTCGTGTGTTTCCTACGATGCAATAAACTACAGTAGGAACGTAATGAGTGAGTAACTTCAGCAGGGAGGATCTTCAGAGTCCTCTCTACCTCATGACTCGTGTTTCAAAAGATGAGATTTGAGTAGGGATTTTACAGAAGAGGACGAGCGCCACATGTGATTTTTTATTATTTTTTTAAATATGATTCAAAGTCATTAAAAAAAAAATTTGATCTGAGAAACAAGAGAGTTCTGAGATTTACAGAAAATTCCGACTGTTGCTCATAATTACGACTTTTTTTCTCATAATTACGAAAAAAATTCTCATCACGACTTTCTTCTTAGAATCCCGACTTTTTTGCCCAGAATCCCGACTTTCTTCGTAGAATTCCGACTTTTTACCCAGAATCCCGATTTTCTTCGTGGAATCCCGACTTTTTTTCCGTAAAATCCCGATTTTCTTCGTAGAATCCCGACTTATTTCTCAGAATTCAGTTTTTAATGTCAGATTTTTTTTCAATAATTATAATTGTTGGTCAGATCTCAAAATGTCTTCCACATGTGTTCCTTATCCTCTTCTGTAGAATTTGGATATGTCAGTATTGTTTCCGTTTAAATTAACAAATGGTTTCCAAAGCCCTAAAGCATTAAATCCCTTTTATCCTCATTTCTAAATGCTTATGCATAACATCCACTCGTATGTAAAGTAAACACTTCATAGTTTACATCATCAAATGTTTTTGTGACACCCTGCCAAGCTCCATTTTGGGTTAAAAGCCAATTTGACTCAGTGTGAATGACCGTCAGTCTATAGTATATATTATCTATGCATCATGCAATCATCGGCACATGTATTCATTTGAGTTCCTCTGGTGTGCTTTATGTCCCCTGTAAATTGCCCCAGCTGTATTTTTTTTTATATACAACTGATATGTTTTAGTTCAATTTTGCTGTTATTTTTAATTCCATAGAAACAGAATTGTGATGAAATCTGAATAACACACATAAAGAAATGTCTGCAATCTGACCTCGGATATAATGAAATCTAATATGTTTACAGTGTGTTTATAAATTGTGAAAGTTTCCCTCCAAATTTAAGGAAATTATTTTTTGTACGCTTCATTAATGCCATATTTTTATTACCGTGTTATGTTAATTAAGTATTTGGGGTCTCATCTGTGGGTCATTTACAGCCCTGTGTGTATTAATAAACACATGCAATTGTTTCTAATTCCCAATATTCCATGTTTATTTGCTAAGGCAGTAAAAATAATGAAATCATGGTTTTCCAGCTGTTAATGTGCCGATAAAAGTCTGATATGTGTGAATGCATTATGGTTTAAAGGTGACCAGTTGACACTACATGACCACAGTCTAATAATTATGAAGTGTGCTGCTGCAGATTTAGGATGAAATGGAAGAAATCTGGTGTCCCAGAACATGACGCTATGTTTAGGATCGTTTAAGCATCCAGAAATCAAACAAACTACATTTGCATAATTTTACATCAAATGGAAATGGAGTGATATATATTTCACTTGTGGTTTTTCCCACCAACTCCTCTCACTCCTCTCCCCCCATTCCTCTCCTCTCACTCCTCTCCTCTCCACCAACTCCTCTCCCCCCCCACTCCCCTCCTCTTGTATTGCAAAGTGTTTAAGGAAATAAATGAAACTGCAATGTAAAAGTGTCTGCGTCATTTGGAAATTAAAACAACTTTTCTTTCTGTTTGTATGTATTTCTTGTAATGCCTTTATGCAAAGTGTTCATCTGGTATTGCATCAGTAATCGTTGCCTTTTTTGATAAAATATTCTCCTTTTAGAGTCATGGCATTATTGTAACTTGGCTGCACCGCTGCGGTTAATTAAAGACCAATGAATACTTTAATTGTATTTTTAAATACCACTGATGATCCTTCGATGTGCACCTTATCTCCTCTACAGCTCAAGAGTCTCGTCAAGCCAAATCATGTTTTTGTTTTTGCATTGAATATATATTTTTGTGCCATGTCACCCTCACTTTGACGAGGACCGGAACAAGCAGAATAGGATTTTCAAAATAAGAGAGATTGTACAATGTGTCAAAAGTGTTATGAAAATATATTATTTGAAGTTAAAATGTACCTTTTTTATTTTCTGTAGCATGTAATGTGTAAATATACCTAGTCAATAAAAGTATACCAAATTGTCATTGTGGGCTTTTTTTTTTATCACTGGTGTGTTAAATTATTGAATACAACATTGTATGAACATTAATACATGTGTATTCTGTACATTTAATATCATGTACAGTACATTTTTCCCATTTACTGTAACTATATATCATATGCAATATCTTTCAAGCCATTTGAAATAAGAAACCCTTAAAATCACTTTATTTTGAAAGGTGAAATACACCATAATAATCCTGTATTAAATGTGATTAAATTACTTCCTCGGTTTGAAATCATAACAGTGTACATTATGGTTTAATTTCACGTCTTGAGGCAAGATGTCTATTAAATGCATTTGTATTTAAAGTTACGTAGACATTTGCCATTAACCGCACTAGTAGAGTGCAATTTATGGGATGTTCTGTACAATTTGGGCATCTAATATGGCATTTTTGCTGTGTCCCTTTCTAAAATGGGGGGGAAAGTTATGAAAAAAGATAGAAATTGAGATTTTACATTCATTTCATTTGCTTATATTTATGTTTTTATTAATTAAATGTACCCGTGATTTTAATGGAGATTGTTGGGGGTCATTTTGGAGAGAGGATTATTTCTGGACTTGGCAGGAAGGTGTGTATTATGGATGTACAAAGAGAACAGCTCCGTTCATTCATATGAGAGCTGCTCAGTGGCGCATGAAGCACAAAATGAAACTACTGTAGATTAAGAACGTAACCGTATGCGGGCCCACAGAGCATGCGCAGTACAGTTTTCCCTTAAACCCCGCTTCCAATCTCCCGCTCTGTGTCAGTCAGATGAATGGAGAGAGAAAATACCTCTGGATTCAGCTTTTAGCGCATTTTACACATATTACACCCTACATATATAAACAAGGGCTATTAATGTGTTCGTGCTGGGTAGTTTATTCATCCCAAAACAAACTATTACAAACGTCTCTTTCCCCAATGAAAGTCAACGGGGAAACGTCTTTTTGGGCCAAAATGACGTCACGGGAGTTGTAGCACCACCGTTTGGCCACTAAGGACATTCATAGAAAATCTGCTTCAACGGCCGGGGCATTTCCTGGTTGCTACAGGGTTAGTTACAGTACACTTTGAATTGAAATACTCAAGTAAAGTACAAGTACCTCAACATTGAACTGAAGTACATTACTTGAGTAAATGTACTTTACTTTACAACACCTATACAAAAGTGAGTCATACATTTTTGGGTGTGATTTCTTATCGTGCTTTTATTTTGAAGGCAAGACGCCCAACCGGAAATCTCCGTCAAAAATCGACTTACACCCCGGAAAAAATAAAATAAATAGTTATAATAATGATAATCATAATTTACACCACTGCAGAAAATATGGTGTTCAATGTTCAAAATCAATGTTCTCGAATAAAATATTTTTAAAAAGACAGTTGCGTGAAAATATGAAATATGAACTGTATTTTTATTTATTTATTGTATGTTATTTTGTATTACTTTATATATCTACCCCTAATGTTGACGTTTTTGTTCAACATATGATACATATATTATTAATATGATAAACAGATCAAAAAAAGACCGACCGTTGCGTGGGTACCCGGATGAAGGAGCGTCGCCATCTTTACGGCAGATCCACCGGTGGGTCTCTTCAGTTCAGGAGCTGCTGAACCGCCTCCAGTGTCTCTCTTTCTGCCCAGAATAACCCTTTCCTGCAGGACTTCCCCCCGTCCCCCAGCACCACCATGGCGGACAGAGAGAACCATGTGTACCAGGCGAAACTGGCCGAGCAAGCGGAGAGATATGACGGTGAGTCCGAGAATAATAAAGAATAATCAGTTGGAGACGAAGCTAAAACACTTCACAGGCACAAAATGGCGGAGGTTTCTCTAGCAGAATGAATCATAAAAAGGTTATAATTGATTGGTGTCGTCTCACAAAGGGAAGTCCCGTGTTGCTCGGCGTGCTTTTGTCGCATGGTTTGGGGTTAGCTGGTGTTAGCTGGTGAGCTAAAGCCAGTCGTTCATTTCCAGAGACAGTTGGCTAATGTTAGCTCGGTTGCTAATTAGCTCAGGTGCTAACTGGCTAGCTAGCCTTTCTTTACCGACACGCGTCACACCATTCAACTGCATTAAGACATGTATTTATTTTTTCAAGTGTTTCTTTATTTCATTTCATTTTTTAATTATTATTATTATTATTATTATTATTATAATACAAGTGTTTAAAGTGTTTTTTCTTTCATGTCTTTTTTTCAATGCTTCTTTCTTCATTATCATTAATTTGTATTTGTTTGTATTTTGTATTATTGTTTTTGTACATCAAACATTATATACATGCAGAAATCTATATACATGTAGATTAAGTCGTTTCAAGGTATCCTTCTTTATACCTTTACTCTACTGCATTTATTTTACAGGTGTAGTCACTAGCTACTTTGCACATTTAGATTATAAATACACAATTTAAATGAAATAATAAATTACTATATACTAGTGTAGGTCAAGCCATCCAGTAGTATAGAAAGTAATAAACCCCTCTTTTACCAATTGAAACATTGGAGAGATTATTGCATGATGATTAATTATAATGCAATCATTTAAGTACATATGGTATTTAAATGTGCCATTCTGCATACTGAGTACTTTTGGTACTATAAGTATATATTTGAAGCCAATACATTTTTTTTGGATGCATTGGTGTTACTTCTAGTATAGTTAGTCAGTAGTACTGTACTTGTACTTAATTGAATAATCTGAGTAATTCTTCCACCTGTGATATCTTATACAGCATTCAAACGTGCAACAGAATTTGAAAAATGAATTCACAAATCGAGCTGATGCTAACCAGCCGCCCCACCAAGCGCTTTTGTATGACAAACAAGTTATAGGGACTCTTGAGAGAGATCTCCATATTGTTTTTGGTGCATTCCCAATTGGTGACATCCCTTTTCAACATCTTGTTTTAAGGTTTGAATCTGTGTTGTAGCTGGAAGTCAGAACCAGAATTCATGTAATCGTCCAACAGTGGGAGATTTTACGTTGTTACAGAAAAAGCAGGGTTTCGTCCAAAGATGCAGATTTTCCCCGTTAAATGTCAAGTGATGCCAGAAAACAATATTTCTGCTAGGCCAAAAACGGTATAATTACTGTGTCAGATGGAGTGTCAGAGACAGCTTGGTTTTTACGTAGAATAAATATGGGATGGATGGAGGCAGCAGGCTGACACTGTGATTTCTGAGTTTCTTTTCCTCTCCTTTGTGCTGTAGAAGAAGTAAAGAAACCGTAGATGTATTTGTTGTTTGAGGTAACCCAATATACTCCGCAGCTTTAAGACATGAAGACACTGTTATTTTCTGCTTCGCTCTGATGCATTATTTTTGCTGGAAAGTGGGCGGGGCTGTCATTTTGTCCGTAATTGACGTTGGCCCCCTCTTACTATATTTTTCTAGAAAAACCCTGTAAAGTATAGAAATAGACAAACAAATGGAAAACCATATTGAGTGACTGAAGTTCACACCAGAGGGTAATACTCAGGACTTTGAAAGAATCCAAGATTATGTTGTTTTTTCTCAGACAATCTACATCTTTGTCCATTCCACAAAGCCAGCTACTATAAGATTTGTTATCGTCTAGTTTTTCTTCGTTCACGGGATATGTGGTGCAGTGATGGCGTATTTTTGTAGGCCGACCACGAAGCTAGCAAAAAGCACTGGATTTTAGATTATTGCAGAAAATAATCTCTGTGGCAAATTAACGTTTATGATACTTACAAGTTTTGTTCAGCAGGATAATCTCCACATATTAACACCACTTTATGATTGATATGAAGTAAAAAGCTAACGTTAGGCTATAAAGGAACAGCACGGTCACATGACTTCACGTCACCACCGCTAAGCTAACGGCGGTGACTGTAAATGCAAATGCAGCAAAGTGCACACGCAGGTTTCCCTTCAACCAATGTCTTGCACTCTCATTGTCTGTAGCTCCCCGAAAGGTCCAGATATTTACCCTGCCTCATATAGAGCCTACACCATTTAAAGAATCAATATTTAATAGCAACAGATAGACTTTGTATGCATAGTGATAGCTGCTGGGTTTGGTTGCTGTTGTTATAAGATGATGTGGTGAATGTATGCATGCTGTAGGATCTTTTTCAAAATAGCTAAGTTGCATTTTTAGGGCGTGAATGCACTGCAGCACATCCTTTATGGACTAACATGACCCCACCACACATTGTGTTGCATCAGTTTAAGCCACATCAAAGTGTGCACACCTAGCCTAGCATATCTTTCATCTTGAAAACGTACTGCACTTGTTATGATGGCAAGAAACCATCGACTGTCTGAGGTTTTTTATAGGAGCCGTCTCATCTGAAGTGAAGAGAGATGCTGATCAGTAGCAGGCACACCCAGCAGATATCTAAAAATACATAAAACACACGCACTAGTTCATTTTAGCACAATTTATTGATCTTTGAATGCTTCCAGTGCACATTTGAACCACTAAAATAGCTGGGAAAATAACTCCATTATCTGTAGGCATGTACATTTTCAATTTGCACCAAAAAACCTTGATGCAAGTTTAGCAAAAATGTCTAATCTCAGCCGAGCTTGACTGGTGACAGTCGGTCTGATAAAGAGAAAAATGATAAAGGCTAATAAATACTGTTCAATCAGCAATGACTGCAGCTTCCACATCTTCAAGTGAGGACCAGTCTCATGCATCAGGATTACAATAACTTAGCTTTTGGCTTTAATTAAAAATGTGTGCGAGAAGCAGGATAGTTAATTCAACCCGGGGGAAATTAGGTGTTGTGATCGTTTGAGAATTGAATAAATACAATATTAAAAAGGTAAATGTAATCACTAAAACAGTGGGTTCATTAGTTTAATTGCTTTATAATAATTAGAATACTTTATTTAGAAGTCAAAATGGGTTGTGTGCTCCATTTTAATATGACAAAAATGCAACGATAACATTTAAATATTTGTACAAACATAAGAAGTTAAAAATAAAAGATTAATTTAAAAAAGAGAATACAAATATTAATACAAACGTTAAAAGATAAGATCAAATGGTACAATTTTAGATGAGTGAAATGTCCAATAACATCAGTTTCAATCTTTTTTCACCCCCAAAAATAAGATATTGAAGCGCGGCGTGTTTCAGGAAGTGCTCGAGTGATTTGTGCGATAGATCGGTGGAGATGCAATGCTGAGAAGTGATTTTTAAAAAGGCGTGGAGGTCAGAGAGAGTGTTTGAGTGCAGGCTGTGGAGGTCAGAGAGTGAGTTTGAGTGCAGGCTGTGGAGGTCAGAGAGTGTGTTTGAGTGCAGGCTGTGGAGGTCAGAGAGTGCAGGCTGTGGAGGTCAGAGAGTGCAGGCTGTGGAGGTCAGAGAGTGAGTTTGAGTGCAGGCTGTGGAGGTCAGAGAGTGAGTTTGAGTGCAGGCTGTGGAGGTCAGAGAGTGCAGGCTGTGGAGGTCAGAGAGTGCAGGCTGTGGAGGTCAGAGAGTGAGTTTGAGTGCAGGCTGTGGAGGTCAGAGAGAGTGTTTGAGTGCAGGCTGTGGAGGTCAGAGAGTGAGTTTGAGTGCAGGCTGTGGAGGGTAAAGTGATCAAAGCTCCTCCTGGCTCTGAAGCTGAAGCATCAGGTTTCTCTGCGCTGCTCTTCAACAGATGACTCCCCGTCTGGAAGCTGCTCTCAGGTTCATGAGCAGCAGGAGAGACTCCATGCAGCATGTCTTTAGCTTACCACGCATAATGCTGTTTATTTAATATACAAGGAAATATCCATGAGGGTGTGTCGTTGCATTTTTATGGAGGAAGGAATAAATATTGGCAAACACACTAGGGCTGAACGATTAATTGATTTTAAATCGAAATCGCGATTTTAAATGATGCAATTATCAAATCGCAAAGCCTGCGATGTGTGTCAGTCATCCACACCAATCAGAAGTGCTGTGCTCCACATGTACCAGTCATTGTTAACCAATCAGAAGTGGCCCGTGATAGGTGATAGACAGATTGATCCAATCACCTGCCAAGTATTTTTGAAAGTGCAATGGCTTCCAATGGAGCTCTCCTAGATGGTGAAACAAAGCATCTGAGTCAGGTTAGTGATGCTCCATCTCATGTTTCTATTACTGATGGTTTCTGAGTCAGGTTAGTGATGCTCCATCTCATGTTTCTATTACTGATGGTTTCTGAGTCAGGTTAGTGATGCTCCATCTCATGTTTCTATTACTGATGGTTTCTGAGTCAGGTTAGTAATGCTCCATCTCATGTTTCTATTACTGATGGTTTCTGAGTCAGGTTAGTGATGCTCCATCTCATGTTTCTATTACAGATGGTTTCTGAGTCAGGTTAGTGATGCTCCATCTCATGTTTCTATTACTGATGGTTTCTGAGTCAGGTTAGTGATGCTCCATCTCATGTTTCTATTACTGATGGTTTCTGAGTCAGGTTAGTGATGCTCCATCTCATGTTTCTATTACTGATGGTTTCTGAGTCAGGTTAGCAATGCTCCATCTCATGTTTCTATTACTGATGGTTTCTGAGTCAGGTTAGTGATGCTCCATCTCATGTTTCTATTACTGATGGTTTCTGAGTCAGGTTAGTAATGCTCCATCTCATGTTTCTATTACTGATGGTTTCTGAGTCAGGTTAGCAATGCTCCATCTCATGTTTCTATTACTGATGGTTTCTGAGTCAGGTTAGTGATGCTCCATCTCATGTTTCTATTACTGATGGTTTCTGAGTCAGGTTAGTGATGCTCCATCTCATGTTTCTATTACTGATGGTTTCTGAGTCAG